CGGCCGCCACAAGCTTTCCTGCCGATTTGTACGTTGTTACCCCTTTTTCTACATTACTCCCTCGCCTTTTCTAACTTACACTGTCTCCTAAATTACGCTGTCGTGTGTCTCATATGCATAAATCCACGTTCTATGTATTCCATAACTTCGTACAGTGCACTGTCCACTCATGGTTGTCGCCGCTGCCGCTACCGCTGCATCCGTCGCCGCCGCACATCTGGGCTCCACGAGGGGGTGTTGTTCCCCCACGTGTGCGTTGCGTTCCCGCCGCGTGTGCGTTGTTGTTGTGGTGCCGGCATCTATGTGCGCCCGTATTCGGCCGTAGGCGGGGCCGGCCGTGTCGAGCCGTGTTGTTGTGGTGGCGGCATCCATATTCGGCAGTACGGTCGGTATTCGTGTTCGTGTGCGGGGTGTATTCGTGCTTTCTCCCATCGGTCCTTACCTGCGGGTTGCGTCTCAACGGGCTTTGCCGCGTCGGGTCCTGCAGGTTTCCCTCCGACGTTGTTCATTCCAGCGTTCTCCCGTACATCTTGATCGTCGTCATCATCGTCGTCATCATCGTCGTCATCATCGTCGTCCTCCTCATCGTCCTCAGAGTCAACATCACTATCTGCAGACTCCATGATGCCCTCTGGCCTTGTGCGCGCGTGTTGCACCTTTTTGCTTACTTTTTTGGTAATTGTCTTAAACACCTCTTCTATCTTTTCCTCCACTAATTCCTGCAGATCGTCCTTCTGAAATATACTGGAAATTTCTGCCTCTTCCCCTGTCTTTTGCATACTCCTCTTGTACTCTTCCCATGGTATTGTGCATTTGGAGTTCTTCTGTATTGCGTTTATACGAGCACTTATCGTTGTACTTTGCTTTAACCATTTTCTTACCGCTGCCTTTAAGTTCCCTTTCCCTATTTTAAAATCCTTATATATATCTTGCGTACATGTGCCGCGTGAAATCGGATTAGACAATTCGTGGCTGCCCACGGCAAGCTCCTTCATGATGGTCCATGCTCTGTCTACTCCAGGCCACTGAAGTCCACACTTTATTGCAGCCAATATATACGCAAAAACATCTGCTACCATGCACCTCATAATAGCCTTCATTTCCCTATCGTTCTCCGATGTTTCCTTATCATTCTTCTTATGATTGCTCCACCCATTTACAAAATATAATGCTCCAACCATCATTCTGCATTTCATTACGTCCGCAACTGAATGACCGGTGTACACGTGTCCCTGATGCTTGTGTCCTCTACGCGTCCAACCTGCATCCCCACAGCTTGTGGCATACACGTCTAAGTTGTCCTCTATTTTTTCCATGTGGTCCACAAAAGCCTTTAATACACGTTGCATATCTGCCCATAATGCACTCTACGAAATATATACATAGAGAAAATGATTAATGTATAACAATATATCAACTCTATAGGACTCTACCTTGCTTTCCGTATGTGTTACCGCATATATATGTACCAACACTATGTTCCGCCACCCGTCTTAGCTGTGTCGTGCATTTCCTTGTGCTGAGTTAATACTTACATCAAGCTGTTCCTGTTCCCATAGTCCCCGTTCGCTTGCCCACTGGACCATTACATTTACTAAGTGCCCGGCCATGTTGCATTACGTGCCATAATACAGGATATTAATGCTACGTGAGAATATGATGCACATTATACATATTCCGCCCTGATTCCGTGCACACTTTTGCTTAATGTATATTCTTATTACTATATGAGTGGGGAAAATCCGATCACACATATAATTTATATAAGGAAAATGCGCAGTACAGAATTGCACGGCCCAGAGCTGTATGCACTATTCTGATATTGTTTAGGAGAGAATAATATGCACAGAACCAAAACGGAGTATAAAAATAAAGAGAAAAAAAAAAAACGAAACAAAAAGAACAAAAGCAAGTCAACGGAAAACAACCTATGCAACATAATAGCTATATATCCTTGCCTCCTGCGCGCCTGTATAAGTTGTCTCTGTGAACAGCATATTACGAAAAGAAATATATATACATGTCGCCAAGTTACTGCACGAATACATCCCCGGAACCAGTGCTGCGTAAGCCAGAGGAAAAGACGCGCAGGAAGAGAAGCAAAACAGTAGTCACTACAAATTCATAACAGCATCCTGTATACAACACAGAGAAGACTCTTTCTATCTTTTGCACACATGAAAAATCTCCCCAAGTAAAGTAGAAAAAACAGAGAAAGAGAAAAATAAACAGAAAAAAAGACATAGAAGACAAAAATAGGAAAAACACTACACTACTACCTACACACACAACGCGACATGAATACACCACCCCCGCCCCCCTTACTCACTAAACGCCTTCACACACTGTCTCTCTGTGCGTACCGCTAAAACCCGCAGTATAACAACACAGTAACAACAACATCAATGCGGCTGACGTCGTTGCCGTGGCCGAGTGTAAGAAGGAGGAGAGATTGTCTCTCCGAGCAAACGCGTCGACCAACGTGGCCGGGTACACGATTCGACGAACTGGCCGCGCAAGGATCCGAGCACACGCGGCCGATTGTAACCACGATTCGACGTAGTAGCCGAGTGTAAGACGGAGGAGCGATTGTCTCTCCGCGCACACGCGGCCGGGTAAACGGGATTGTCGACGAGGTAGCCGAGTGTCAGAAGGAGGATTGTCTCTCCGAGCAAACGCGGGCGGGTACACGGCATTGTAGCCGAGTGTACGCAGGAGGAGAGATTGTCTCTCCGAGCAAACGCGTCGACCAAAGCGGCTGGTCCGAGTAAGCAGGATTCGACGAAGTAGCCGAGTGTAACAAGGAGCAGCGATTGTCTCTCCGAGCAAGCGTGGCCGCGTAAACCGCATTGTAGCCGAGTGTAACAAGGATTCGACGAAGTGGCAGAGTAAGTGGTTCGAGTGAAGTATTTCCAGAGAGGGAGCAGACAGCGGGGAACGGGGAGCAAGGAGCACACATATTATGTGCGGGAGCACGAACGACCGGAGCAAGGCCACAACGACGGCAACGACGGCAGAAGTGTTGATGTTGTGACTATGTTGTTGTTCGTTTTAGGTGTACGCACACAGAGACAGTGTGTGAAGACGTTTAGTGAAGAAGGCGGCGGGGAGTGCATATGCATGACGCGTTGCGTGTGTAGGTACTGTAGTAGTACTTTGTTCCCCCCTTTCTTTGACCGCACCAACACGGCGGCAGCCGCACGCACAAGCCTTGACGCGAGACACGTTGACGCACACGGCGTGCATGGACAGCCGTTAACGGGACCGGCGTGACCCGAAGAAGCGTGGACGGCAGAGGCGTGGACGGACACCGCGTCGACCAACGTGGCCTGGTACACGGGATTGTCCAAGTAAGTGGTTTGAGTGAACGGTCCGAGGACGCAGCCGCGGAAGGCACGGCGACAACGAAGGCACAGCATGGATGTTGTTGTTATTACTGCGGTGTATTGTAGACCGGTGTAGAAAGCGGGGCGGGGGGTGTATATTCATGACGCGTTTTGTGTAAGCAGTTGTTCTTTTTTTGCTTTCTTTTTCCTTTTTTTTTTTTTTTGTGGTTCATCTATATTTATTCCTCTGTCATTCTCAATATATGGTTTCTGCGGAATATAATAATAGTAGACGAATGGGGTTGCACACAGGGCAGATAGTTGTTTTGTTCTCTATAGAGTTCCAATGTTATGTGTTAAGGCCAGCAATTACTCATCAGTAGTACAGGCACAATAGAACACGGTCTAGAGGGGCCATGTGAAGGTTAATATAGTTCACGTGGGACATTGGGATAATACTCAGGTGTGTAATATTGGAGCTAATCCAGCACGGAGCAGTATGTCGGATGGGGCATTAGCGAAAATATTGGCACAATACGTAAAGGATAGGAACCTAACGGAGGGCACTGCGATTTATCAGGTAATTTCCTATACATACGGGCCGCGTGTGGCGCTGTGCACAAGGCAGCACATATGTGTGTATAAGCGCAGCATACTACAGGGCACCAGCATGTCGGACATGTGCGTGCTTAATATGTACCGAATACGGCAGATTTACATGTAACAGGCAGGAAGGGCCAATTATAATTACATGATTGCCACGGTTCGTGAATAATAGTGTGCGACCACATATATATGTGCATTCTGCTAACCACAGGGACATTTATGGAAGGATATACAGGACCAACTGGGGCTTTTTATTACGGATATGAACAATGACAGTGAGTACCACAATGCTAAGAACTGTGAGAATGCATACTGGCAGCATCCAGAAGAACATGGGACACCCGGGCAGTCACCAAGGCGGATGGATCGAAGCAAAGAGAGAGTTATATGCAGACTCATGACGCAAGCGATATACTTCGCAAATGCGTGGAGTAAAGAAGCAAGGAACAACGCAAGCCACGATGATCAAAATAAGGAGATAAAGGGAATAATGAGATGCACCATAGCGGATATATACCAAGACATACTGACGGAAGCCGGATGCGAGGGTCACTGGGGAACTTACTATGCATGGTACGTCGTGGACCAAATATCGGGAGGGCTGACGGCCACTCGGGGCGCGCAGGATTGTGAGAGGGGGAAGTACAAGACTATAGATTTGAAGACTTGGCCAATGCGGAGTAAAATGAAGACATGGCTAAAGGACAATGAACAGATGAAGCAGAAACTTGCACAGGAAAAAATACAAGATGGGTGTGGGGGAGGAACCGTAAAGACAAAGGGACAACTGCAACAGGAAGGAGAAATAAAGGACGACGAGTCTGAACATAAGAACGACGAAGAACTGAAGAAGAGAATGAAGGCGGCTATTACGCCAATTTTGGGCAAACTGAAGCACGCAATGAAGCAGGAGGAAATCACATTAAAGGCGTCAACTGGGCCGGCACCCACGTACGATTCTGTGGACGACGCAGACGAACAAAAGGGTGACGAGATAGACCATGAAATGAAACAAGCAATCGAGGACGCGGGAGAAGACTTAAAAAAAGTAATCGTTATTCCCGCCTCCGCCACACCCGCCACGGCGGCTACAGGAACGGCGGAAAACAGACCATCCACGGAACCGACAGGTAAGGACCGATGGGAGAAAGCACGAATACACCCCGCACACGAACACGAATACCGACCGTACTGCCGAATATGGATGCCGCCACCACACCAACACGGCTCGACACGGCCGGCCCCGCCTACGGCCGAATACGGGCGCACATAGATGCCGGCACCACAACAACAACACGCACGCGGGCGGAACGACAACGCACGCGGCGGCCACGACGGCAGCGGTAGGGGCGACCACTGTGTAGACGAGGTCTGTGTGCGGACGGGGGAATATTTCCCCCCGGGGTGCAACATTGTTACTGGTGGAGAAGGGAGGGATATCCATGCAGCGACAGAATTGTAGGAGTGTTAGGAACAAAAAAACAGAGGACTGTTACATTTTATAAAAATACTTGGAACATGTTGTATGCATGGTAATCATAATGCAGCGTTTTTTGTATGTAGGATATGAAATAATTGTTCCTTATATGTGTGCAATGTGGGGAGACTTTTCCCCTTTTTTCTTCTTAAAATGGGTTTCTCGCCCATAATATCAATAAATACGTGATCATATGAACAAATAATAAAACATAAACACAAACCATGTATATTGATAAGACCGCAACGAACATTATCATGTAGAACACGGAACTATAAAATAAATACTATAAAGGAAAAATAGACCACATCATAGGGGCGAACATACAACATCATAAAAAGGTCGATCCATTACATAGACGAATAACAAATTATGACGTCGAAATAGTCTACGAGATGTAGAA